GTCCATCTGGTTGGCTCTACCTTCCCGGCCACCAAAAGGTCCCAGAACGTTTAGATTTCTAAATATCTCCAAATAAGATAAGGAGGAGAATGGTAAATTGATTAACAGTGGGGCTTCACTCTACATCTGTAATACCCGTCTATTCTTCCTTCCTTCATCAATAAACAAAATGCTTATTCATGCACCAGACATCTTGATAGCCGAAGAAGGGTCAATGACAGTTAAGACATAGTCCTTGCCCCCAGGTGCCTTTTGTTTAGCCATGTAAACAAAATGTACAGCAACATGTTACAAGCTTTGTGCTGGAGGGGTGGACAGTATTGGGAGTCACAAAGGAAAGAGTGGACAATTCCATTTGGGGGGTTCGGGTGAGACTCTGTTTGAGTACGCATTGGCAAGGGGAACAGAGATGAGGATGGGAAAACTAGCCATTTAGGTATAGAGATCACATGCCTGAACCCATCTGGTGTTTTCAGAAAAACTGCAGAGATGTTGGTGCCATTGCACCATGAGTGAGAGGTGTGGCAGGGGAGGAGGCTGGGGAGGTAGGAAAGAGTCCCAACAAGGAGGGCTTTGTTGCATGATTAAAGAGTTTGGACTTCATCTTGCAGAGTGTACTAAGCCATTAAAGTGTCTTAATCAGGAGGATAGCAGGACCATATATGTGTTCTAGGAAAATCCGATGTTCATTCCTGTATGTTCTTGATGCCTGTCAGGGTCCCTCCCTGAGGAGGTGGTCTGATGGGGATAAGAAGCGGGGTCAACAGAGAAGAAACATGGTCTTGAGAACCATCTGGTCTAAAATTAGACTACAGTCATCTATTGTGCACTGCACTGAACCTCTTTTCATGCCAGATACGGTCTGGGGACCAGACCTGTTTGGACATGGCTTGGGTGAGAAACCGGTTGTCTTTTCCAAAGACAATTTGGATTTCAGGAGGAAAATCACAGCATCAGAGTTCCAAGCAAAGGGGCATTACAGGCCAGTCAGATTGCACAAAAATTACTGCTGCGAAATAACCATAATTAAGTCTTTCTGCCAGCATAACTGGGAAGGGAGTTGAGGCCATAGGTTGCTGGGAGTAAAATTTGGAAGTGTTATCAAATACTATTACTGTTTGGAAATTAGAAAGAAAAGAATGAAGATAGAATTCATTTTTCTTTTGGGAAGCAGGACTAAGAGGTTCAGGCAAGTTCTCTGGAGCTCTGAAATGAACAAAAAAAAGGAAAATAGGGAGCTGCATGTAATGGCACAGGAAAAGTGTCTCTCCACAAGCTTTGCTTTTCTTCCCAGAATCAGAAGGTGCCCAGTCAGAGTTGGCGCAGCTGACATGACATTTATAATGTGGCAGTGTCTGCCTAAACCATTTGACCTATATTAAATGTAACATGATAGTGAAGTAAAACTAAGAGGTACCTCCCTGGAGTCTTCAGAAGCAACCCCACCTGTTCCACATTGTGCTGAGGTTCCCTGCAGGAATGGCAATACCTGGTGCATTGGGAAACAGGAGACTTAAACAACACCTGGTTTCAAGTCCTAGCTCGACTACTTACTAGCTTGAAATTAAGACTGCTTCTTCAACTATAAAGTGGAAATAATGGCACTTATCAACATGCTCATTACTAATTAGTTAATAAAAGTAAGGATTCTTTGTTAAGCGTTGCTCAGATGTTAATTAATAATAATATTGACTAGATATTGATAGTATCTCGAGCTAAACTGTTGAACACAGTAGCTATGTGAAATGTGGTGAGTCTGAATTGAGATATGCTGCTAGAGTTGGCACCAAAAAAAAAAAACCTCAATGATTTTTACATAACTTATATGTAAAATCATAATATTTTAGATATATAGTGTTACATGAAATATAATTAAAATTAATCTCTTATGTCTCTTTTTACTTATTTTAATGTAGCTACTAGAAAATTTAAAAGTATGACTGTGGCTTGCATTGGGGATTTGTGTTACATTTCCAATAGGCAGTATTGAACTAGGGTGTTTCCTGTCTATGAAACAAGTGATATGGAATGTGAGGATTCTGAGAACCATCTTTCAAAGTCAAGTCAGGATATATACGACACATTTATCTATCTCACGAATTCATCCACTTTTAAAATTCATTTCACTTCCACGCTTTGAACATCTACCTTATGCCAAGGACTGGATACAGCCTAGTTGTGCCCTTTGGGAGCTCACACTGTGACTATGAATGAGGCTGGGGAATTCCTATGCAGCCTACAGCATTCCACAGTCATCAGTTTGTTTTGTTCTCCTCCTACACTGTTGGTGGGAATGTAAGTTGGTGCAGCCACTGTGGAAAACAGTATGAAGGTTCCTCAAAAAACTAAAGATAAATTACTATCCAACCCAGCAATTCCACTCCTGGGTATATATACCAAAAAAACCCCGGAAATACTAAGTTGAAAAGATATATGCACCCCAATGTTCATAGCAGCACTATTTACAATTGCCAAGACATGGAAACAACCTAAGTGTCTATCAACAGATGAATGGATAAAGAAAATATGGTGTATATATATATATATATATATATATA